AACCTGGGCACATTCCAGAAAAAAAAAATTACACACTCCTTTGTCCTATTGATATCTGTGGATATTCAATAGAAGGACTACTCATGGCCATATTATTGCATGATTCCAAAGGCAGTATCTGCTAGTCTTCTGCACATCCCAAGACCTCCACGAGAGCCAAGTTGAGCCATCTTCCCTCCAAGTACCAGGCATCAGCATTGAATGCTGACTGCCAGAAAACCCTTGAGCACAACTTGACCCTTCCTTGTGCCTTTGGTTAGTGGTAAGAGGAAGTCTTTACCACTGTGAGTGCTTTATTGGTAAGATGAGTGTATTATCCAGTGTTGGACAACATGGAGCTGTCCACTTGTTGCTGCTGCTGTTTAGCCCTTTCCTGTGGCTGCCGTTTACCTAACCCACTGTGAGTGCTTTATTGGTAAGATGAGGGTACTATCCAGTGTTGGACAACATGGAGCTGCTTCTGTTTAGCCCTTTCCTGTGGCTGCCGTTTACCTAACAAAAAAGCATCTTAGATGCATTTGTGCAATTAATGTCCTACCAGGTTTGATTCTGAGTATCTACCTTGGATCTCTTGATGTGCTTCGCTGTGGCTATTTATATTTAAGTACTTATTGATGGCTTGCTAAGTCAATAAACTTGAGGCGTTGATAGCAGCAAAACTGAATACGTAAGTCAATAAACTTGAGGCGTTGATAGCATCAAAACTGAATAACTTCCAGTTTAACTTGAGTTTGAATGGTCTCCTGCTCTCGAATCAACATGCTGACAAATTTTATCCTATACTGACATGGTGGAGATTTATATGCCATCCCTATCTTGATCTTTTGGATCTTTAGTGAACTAGCCAGGCTCCTCCTATACGCATTAGAGGCTGTGCTTGTTTTAGTGGGAGTCCATATTTCGTAAAGACAATGGAACTAGCACTGAATTCCTAAGGCAGGATCCATTTCAGCTGGTGTTCATATTACATGAAGGAGTCTATTTACCCTATCTATCCAAGTTTATTCTATGAAAGTGGTGTTTTGGATTCAGCCTTTTCTATGATCTAATTTGCTTCAATACTAGTGCCATCAATTTGCCTCTCACACACAGCTGATTCAAACATGAAAAAACAGCACGTGAAAAAGAAAATCCAATCTGTAACCAAAATTCAGAAAAGCTTTATTTTGTATTGAAAGTTAGCATGCCAAGCAGAAGGGATTTATTGATAGATTAGGTTTCATAGGCAGGTCTCTCCTCATCCTCTCCCTCAACCTGCTTCTTTGCAGAGATTCACTCAGGCATGTAGCTTCTACGTGACAATCTGAAGCGATATGTTTCAGGAAGGATCACATCCCATTCTAACTGAGCAAATCTGAACCATCTCTGGAAGGCAAATGAGATGTGTTAGCTACAAAGCTTCCCATTTAACATGATATTGCTGCTTCTGCCACAAGAGATGTAGAATGGAATTACGTTATCAGGAGAATCACATGACCCAACTCTTTCTAAACAACCATTCAGATTTCAGATTGGGTTTATTTGTTTGAATCCTCCTCTGTGGAAGAAGAGGTAATAGCACTGTCAAGGTTTCAGGCCCTTCAGATTTTAGACCTGTTGTCTAAAGCTGGTGGAGTTCAGAAAAGCTGTACCATTTGATTCTCCCAGTCATGTCGTTTGCCTTTCAGGCTCAAACTGAAATTTGTTATACAAACTGTAGGTTTCTGTATGCATAAATTCTCTCCCACTCCCTTTCTCAAACCTAAATTGCTTGTCTCTGCTTGCTCAAATCACTCAGTTACTGTCATGTGTATTAAATTCCTTTTGAGTCTGTGTATGATCAACGTAGAGACCACATTTATCATTGGCTCAAATAAACAAAAGAAGGCATCGTTTTAAAATAGGATTGGAAACCCAGTTGATGTGGCATTATATTTAACTTCTTGCATTTGTTTATGTGCTGTTTGAATTATTTTATATATTTGTTTTGGTAGGAGTTGAGGCTAATGAATAGCTAGTTAAAAGAATATGCAGATATAAATTCTGTGGAGTCCTGGAATGTTCTGCCACAGTCAAGGAGGGCCAAAATGTGCCACCATGTGAGGTCTTTCCTGGTTGTCATGGTTTAAAGCATCTCTCCCTCTCCCTCTCTTTATCTCATCTTAGGTCCTTGAAAATGTAGAGTACACTTTATATCACATTTTGAGTCAGCATTTTTTTTCTGCTTATGGGACAGCCTTCCAGCACTTGCTTGAGTACTATAGAAAAGCTGGAAAATTTGCTTAATGGTCATGCTGGCTGGAGGGTGCTGGGAGCTGTAGTCCAACAAAGTAATGTTCCCAACCTCTGAAAGAGTAATAGATCTGAGGGCTCTGAGAATATACTGCTATAGGCTTTGGTTTGAGAAGGGCAGATAGCTTGAAGGGGGAAAGGTCATAGTGTTGATCAGTTTAGGAGAGGCTGAGGTGGCTGCGTAGCTCAGTTGTTTAGGAGGTTGGGAGCTGCACCGTCCCAGAATTCCCCCCAAAAGGAGGGAGTAGTAAACCACTTCTGTGTATTCTCTACCTGGAAAACCTTGAAAAGGGCCACGATAAATCAGAACTGATTTGACGGCATGTGATTATTATTATTATTTATTAGGATTATTATGGAAAAGTCAGAATTATTCATTTGCCATTCCATGCAATCAGTCAATTAAGTTTTTTACATGTTTTAGCAGCAGTTATTTGAAGTAGGATACAGTGGACCCTCTACTTACGGAATTAACCCGTATTGGAACGGTGGCTGCAGGTCAAAAGGTCTGTAGGTCAAGTCTCCATTGACCTACAATGCATTGAAAACTGATTAATCCCGTAACTGGCCATTTTTGTTCCATTTTTGTTCCATTTTGGCTTTTTTCTGGTCTGTAGGTCGATTGTCCAGTTGCAAGTCGAACCTAAATTTTGCGGCCAGAGAAGTCTGTAACTCAAAAAGTCTGTACGCCGAACCGTCTGTAAGTCAAGGGTCCACTGTAAGTCTTTACGAAGGGACATGGTGGTGCTGTGGGTTAAGCCGCAGAAGCCTCTGTGCTGCATGGTCAGAAGACCAGCAGTTGTAAGATCAAATCCACGCAATGGAGGGAGCTCCTGTCGCTTGTCCCTGCTCCTGCCAACCTAGCAGTTCGAAAGCATGTCAATGCGAGTAGATAAAAAGGTACCACCTCAGTGGGAAAGGAACGGCATTCCATGTGCAGTCGCGCTGGCCACGTGACCATGGAAACTGTCTATTGACAAATGCTGGCTCTATGGCTTGGAGATGGGGATGAGCACCGCACCCTAGAGTTGGATATAACGAACTAAATGTCAAAGGGAACCTTTACCTAAATCTTCACAACCTATGACACTCTTTCCCAAGCCAAATTCAGCCACCATGAGTCATCTGTGATGGCTTGCCAACCACTTGGTGATTAGCTGTCTTCATAATCTTGGTGTATCAACAAAACCAAGTTTTCAAACCTTTGGTCTACTTTGTTTGACAAGCAGTCACAAATTGTGTAGGCCTGGGGCTAAAGTCTTCTGCATGTGGTTGACCATGAAATCAGGGAGAGGTATTATATATGTGCTTGTGACCAGAATCCTATTATTGTTCACATAAGATCTGCATGACTTGCCACAGTTAATTGTAAGTAAAAGGTGTTGGGCTTCCGCTTAGTTATCCAATCAGGTGTGAGTACATGACAGAGAGGTGCCCCAGCACCTTGTCAGTTAGCAACAATTAGCTATTGTAAGTTACACAGAACCTTAAATGAGCACCAGTAGGAATACGACCAGTGTGTATACGTGCCTTTCGGAAAATGCATGTGTCCACTTGTGAACATGATTGTCTGGCGACATTCAACAGATGCATTTTTTAAATTTACTTTCAATGAGAATTCCACAACTGTAATCATATAGATGCAGTGAAATTCTGTATAGGATTGTTTCAGGTCTAAGGATTCTTGGTTTCCTTTGGGAAGCTATGACAAGTATACCATATTTGTATGCAGCTTTTCAGAGCAAGTACAGTGTAGGCATCTTCTGTGTGAGATTCTTTCCTATACTAGCTTCATTGCTAGAGGTTTTGATGTTAATAGCCAATTGGTTCGTTATATATTGTGATGCCTACCACCATTGCTTCCCTTTGAACATCACAATATGCCCTACATGCAGAAATACACTCACTTTTGTAAGCCTTATAATATCGGAAAATATGAGCTTGAGCCATCTCCCCCACCCAGAAAAAAAAATTAAAGTAAGCTGTTACAAGTAATGACATTACTTGTAACATATTACTTCAGGAGAATAACAGGCACTAACAATCTAAAGTAACTCAACAACTGGTAACATCACCCCCACCCATGTTACTTATTACTTTTTCTTTTTACTCTTATGGGGCAAAAAAGTTTTAGGAAAGCATTGAAGAGATTAGTTCAAAATTTAGGGCCATTTCATTTTTAATGGATTTTAAAAGGAGGAAAAAAAGGACAAGGGGAATTGAGCAATGTGGAATGGCAATGAGTAACAGTGGAGTGAGTTAATGAGTAATGATAATGATTTATTTTAATAAGTAACTTGCCAAGCTATACCTTCCTCCCTGTCCCATGGAGACCCTAGACCCCTAGGCGAGCATCCTACAATGTTCCCTCTCAAATATGTGATAGATCCAAGTTTGTGCAGTGGCTTTGCTTGCTAAGCTAGGGCCCTTTAATGTCTAACCCTCATGTTTCTTCATCTTTCCTTGTGGTGTCAGTCATTCTTTTTTAATTCATTGTGTAGGGTATGTCTTTGGGAACAATAATGCACCTTGGGATATTTAATGTCACTTTACAAACTAATAGACTTGCACCGTATAGCTCTTCTGATAACTTGCATCCTTTGTCTTGTCTAGAAAATGTGTTGCGTCTTTTAATTTGAATGTATGTATGTGTTGAAATTTGAATTTTCAGTCTGTGCGAAATTGTATTGATACTTCAGCATCTCTCTATATTTTTGCTTCTTTTTCAGTGGCCCCACCGTCAAGATTAAGATATACTGTTGTTGATCATGACAGTATTCAGATTTCATGGAAAGCCCCTAAAGGGCAGTTTGATGGATATAAACTCCTTGTCACGCCAAATGCAGGTAAAAGAAATAAGAAAAATAGTTTTAAGCCTGTGTGGTTTCTTAGAAGCATGTGAAGTATTCCTGCATTATATATGAAAAAGCATCACATACCAGACTTCTAATAATCCAGTTTTAGTATTGTTTCACTTGCTCAGGAAGGCTAGGACAGAAAATATAGGGTGAGGGTGGGGGAAGCAAGTGAAATATATCTGTGAATTGTTCCTTATGGCGAGAGTATCTGGAACTAGATATTTCTCTCCCTTGGAATTACATGGGTAATATTCTTCCTTCAACCTCTGTCACTAGTATTTCATGCAAAGCAAAGTTGTCTCTTCCGCTTGACAGAATTGCTAGTTTAGGACATTTCAATAAGAAGACTGGGGAGTGGCAGACAAAGTTTCTGTGAAAGGCAGCTGGATCCACAAACCACCTTTGAAAAAATTGTGAGGTAGTGGTGACCACAGCAAGCGTTAGCTGAGTTCTACAACACATGGTCAGGTTATGACAAAATTGCCAGATCTTGGGGGTGCTGTCTGGTAACTGTGACGGCCTTCCTCACTACTCACAAAGGGAGGTCGCCACGTCACTTTAAAACCCTTTACTCCACTTTACTGCCACCAACCATTCCTTAATAAGATAAATAACTCATAAGGCCAGTATAATGTTCAAAATAAAAACTTGGTTTATTTAATACAAACATAAAGGAATGGTAAATCACTATTAAAGAAATAATTGATCAATCACTGTTTCTCAGGCACTAGCTATCACAGACTCTTTCTCACTGACTCTCACTGACTCTAAGAACACTTTAACACTCAGCTCATTCTCTCATCTTAAGTTCCAGTCAGCAATCTCTCCTCTCCCTTCTTTCTCTCACACACCCCTTTATACACCAGCTCCTCCCCTTAAGCTCCGCCCTCCGTCACACCATTAGTCGATGACTCACTGACGGACAGGTGAGGTCAGGGCTGCCTGTTACAGTAACGTCTGTATCTCTCTGGTTCTCCAGCTAAGGAGACAAATCAAAAGGCAACTGGCACTGAAGAAGGAGAGCTTTGGTCTTATTTGGGTGGCCCCCTTAATATGTGAATGCTCATCTCTTCCCAGCCTCCACTGACACCAACTGGGTCGGTCCAAAGATGTGTGTATGTATGTTGGGGGCACTGGATTTGTTTAGGAAATAGTACCACATTGTCTTACTTCTGACGCGAACACACACAAACACTTCTTTTGCAGTTGCTACATAACGATTCCTGAAGCATTCCACAAATCAGGGTTCATGGGGTCACAAAAAGGTCTCTTCAAGCCAGTGTGTTGGACCCGACTATCATATTAAAATGTTAAAATCAACTCTCTTTGACCAGAAGCAGGCTACTTCAATAGCAGTTTCTCAGTTATTTGCTGGATGTTCTCTTGTATACATGGTGGGCAATCACTATGAGAAGTTATTAGATATTAGGTGGTATATACGTATTATAAATAAATAAATAAATAACATTACATATTAGGTGGTATATAAGTATTATAAATAAATAAATAACCAAGGCTAACTTCTAGTAGTAAATCACAACTAGAGCAGGCCCATTGAATCAGTGCAGATTTGATGAGTGAACACCTATGTAATTTCCTGCTCTAGCTGGAAGTTAACTATTGGATTTCAGCTGACATTTACTATAATTGAAAGGCAAACCACACGTTATGCATAAATGTGTGCAGTGCAACTCTTTCTTTCTTTCTTTCTTTCTTTCTTTCTTACTTCCTTCCTTCCTTCCTTCCTTCCTTCCTTCCTTCCTTTCTTCCTTCCTTCCTTCCTTCCTTCCTTTCTTTCTTTCTTTCTTTCTTTCTTTCTTTCTTTCTTTCTTTCTTTCTTTCTTTCTTGAGATTGAGGGTAGAGTTGCTCTTCTCTCCAATACCCCCCTCCCGGACAAATTCATGAATTTCAGTGAGTGAGAAAGCAGGTTTGGATGATTTTTCCAAAGAAGAAAAGACAACTTCATAATCTCTTTCCTGGTAGTGTTTCTGATCTCTCAGAACTGTAGCTTCCTCAAGG